TGGCAATTTGATCGCACGAGTAAGTCCATATGATGTTTTTGAGTTAGTATGCATGATTGGTTTGGAGCCTCGAGGGCTCGGGTGAGATTCGGATAGGTTTCGGGATGTTTTTACACTTAGAAAAGTTGCAGGTTTTGCTATCTCAGGTGCACAGAGATATTGTTATTCGCGTTCGTGTGGCTTCACTCACGAACGCGTAAGGCAAGTTTCCTCTAGTGCCAGATTATTCTTCACGAATGCGGAGCTTAGGACGCGGACGCGAAGCTGTGGTGGAGTTACCCTTTGCGATTGCGTTCAGGCTCTAGCGAACGCATAGGCTTAGTGGGCATGGGGGAAGGATTTCAAATTGTTCTATGCGAACGCGGCCAACTGACCGCGAACGCGAAGGCTTGAGGAACTAAAGCTCCAGGAACGCGAGCCTTTGAAAGTGAATACGATGGCCATCTGGGCCTGACCCATGGCGAACGCGACAGGCCCATGGCGAACGCGATGAAGGCCTGCCCAATTATTTTAAATACAGAACCAAACATCAGGCAGAACCCATTTACTCCATATTTTTGAGCTCCCAAGGCCTAGAGGCAATTTTCTTCACACGAATTCATCCCTAAAGTGTTGGTAATCAATTCTAAACTTTACTCTTTCAATTACCCAATGTTTTTCATCACTTTTTAATCAAGAATCAAGAGTTTTCATGGTAGAAATTAGGAATTTGGGTAGAGTTAGGGATTTTTGAATAATTTGATTTTAGACCTCATTTTGGGGTCGGATTTCGAAACTAATTGCATATTTGGGCTCATGTGTGATCGGGTTTTGATCCGAACCTCAAGTTTTGACCAAGTGGGTCCGGGGTCAATTTTTGACTTTTTGGGGAAAATCATAGAAAACCTATAATTAAGAATTGGGTATAAATTCTTTAGCATTTATTGATGTTGTTAAATTATTTTGGACTAGATACAAGTAATTTGGAGGCGAATTCTAATAGAAAAGCGGTGTTTGAGGCTTGAGTTGGCCGTGGAAGTTCGAGATAAGTATTTGGTCTAACCTTAGCTTGAGGGAATAGGTATTGTGCCTTATTTGCTATGTGCTAGTGTAGTATACGATGTATAGGTGTGGTGACGAGTATCTATACGTCGGTGTCAAGTATGCCCGTTGAGTCTTAAATTCTAATTGTTGTATTTCTTAATAAGTACTAAAATTGCCTAAATTGTTGATTCTCCGTGTTGAGCAAGACATGTGATTAACTCGTGGTATTCGTTTATTGTTGAGCATTGGCTCTAGTTGAGGTTTTGATTGTGAAGTTAAGTGTTGGTATAAGTTTGGTTATAGCTGATTCCCTTGCCGGGACATACTTAATTCTTACTGTTGATTCCCTTGTCGGGATGTGTTTATTCTTGTTGTTGATTCCCTTGCTGGAAAATTGTTGTTGCTATTGTTTGGGTGAGGAAAGAGTGATAAATCACGAAGGGTGATGCCGTACACATTCATATTTATGCATTTGGTGAGGAAAGAGTGATAAAGCACGAAGGGTGATGCCTTGTACATTTTTATTGATATTGATGCATATGGTGAGGAAGAGAGATAAAGCACGAAGGGTGATGACGTGCACATTTCTAATACATATATAGTGAGAAAGAGAGATAAAGCACGAAGGGTGATTCCGTGCACATTTTTATTACTTGATTGCGTTGGTGAGGATTGAGAGTAAAAGTACGAAGGGTGATGTCGTGCACTTATTTCCTGTTTATTTTGATTTCTTGTCGCTTCGGTTCAAGTTCCTTAATTGTTTTATTCCACTACTACTGTGATTCATTATGTCAATGTTTCCCCCATAGCATGTTACCCTTTCCCCGTTACTTTTGAATTGCTTTTATTGCTGTTATTCTATTAGATATTGTTTAGCTACAGGTTGTTTTGTTGTGGTGTCCTAGCCTCGGAACAACTGCGCCGAGGTTAGGCTCGACACTTACTAGTACATGGAGTCGGTTGTGCTGATACTACACTCTGCACTTTCTTGTGCAGATCCCGGTACGGGAGTATATAGACCTTAGCTAAGGGTTGCTGCCTTCAGTCCACTAGGAGACCAGAGGAAGTCCTGCAGGCGTCCGCAGGCCTTGGCGTCCCCTCCCTATCTAGTTTTCATCTGTTCTTAACTATTTCAGAGGAAGACATGTACTTTATTGTTTAGACTTTATTTGTAGTTTTCTTAGACAGTCTGTAAGATTGTGACACCAGTTCTGGGTAGTTTATGTTATGGATTTATATTGTTATTAGCTAAAATTGTTAAATTTTCATTCTTCCGCTCTATTAATTTTTGATGTTTATAAACATTAATTTATAACTATTAATGGATTAAAATGAAAAGAATAAAATAATTGGCTTGCCTAGCTTACACTAGTAGCCATCACGACTCCTGAGGGTGGAAAATCCGGGTTGTGACAAGTTGGTATCAGAGCTCTAGGTTGCTTAGGTCTCACAACTCACGAACAAGCTTCCTAGAGTCTGAGGGATCGGTACGGAGCCGTTTGTGCTTATCCCCCAGAGGCTACAGATTTAGGAATAGTTTCACTTCTATTCATCTCTGTCATGCGGTTTGGTTTCTCAATGCCAATTGAACTTCTACTCTGTTCTTTCGAGATGGAGAGAACACGTGCTTCTTCATCCGCCGATCAACAGCCCGAGCCCCCAGCAGCAGCACCTACAAGGGGCAGAGGGCGAGGCCAAGGCCGTGCTAGGGCCGAGACAAGGGCAGAGATCAGCCCAGAGTAGCAGCACCAACAGTGGAGCCTCAAGTTGAGTTTGATGATGAGGTTTCGGCCCAAACAGTTCCGATGGGCCTAGCTCAGGTCCCAGAGGGGTTCATTGCTACCCTAGTACTCCAGGATGCTCTAGTCCATCTAGTGGGCCTTATAGAGAGTGTCACTCAGGCAGACTTACTTCCTGTAGCACCAACCATCTCTCAGGCTGGGGGAGGAGCATAGACTCCCGCTACCCGCACTTCGGAGTAGATGGCTCCCTAGTTTCAGACTCCAACAGCTCAGCTAGTTGGAGCAGTTCGGCCGGATGTAGTAGCTAAGACTGGTGATGGAGCAACTATGTCTGCTGATGCTTTGTGGAGGTTGAACAGGTTCACCAAGCTATTCACAACTACTTATGGTGGTACATCTTTAGAGTATCCCCAGGATTACTTAGACAGCTGTCATGAGGTTCTTCGAAACATGGGGATAGTGGAGACCAATGGGGTCGACCTTACTGCTTTCCATCTGTTAGGTTCAGCCAAAAAATGGAAGAGAGACTATTGTTTGGACAGACCATTTGGATCACCATCTCTCGGAGAGAGGAGTACCGCAGACGGTTCGAGCGTCTCCAGTAGGGTTCTATGACCGTAACCCAGTACGAGACAAGGTTTATTGATTTGGCTCATCATGCACTTCTGATACTCCCCACTGAGAGAGAGAGAGAGAGAGAGGAGGTTTATTGAGGTACTCCCTCATCCTATTAGACTGCAAATGGCTAAGGAGACAGGTAGCGAGATTTCTTTTCAGGATGTGGCCAATGTTGCCAGGAGAGTTGAGATAGTTTTGGCTCAGGGGAGCGGTCAGGGGTCCGATAAGAGGCCTCGTCATTTAGGAAGATTCAGTGGTGCCTCGTTTGGAGGCAGGGATTCTTTTGGTAGAGGCCATCCTCCTAGGCCATTCCAGTCAGCACTTCAGGTTTCTCATGGTGCTCCTGGTGGTTGTGGTTCTCACATGTAGTATTATGATCAGTTACCCTATAGTGCACCACCAGCTCCTATCAGTGCGCCTCCACTCCAGAGTTTTCAGGGTGGTTATCCAGGCCGTTAGGGTCAGTTTCAGCGTCAGCTTCAGGATCAGTAGTCTCAACAACCCAAGTCTTATTATACTTGTGGTGATACGAGGCATATTGCTAGATTTTGCCCTCAAGGCTCGAGCAGTTCTCAGCACCAGGGTTCTCGTGCTATGGTCCCAGCACCTGGTGTTCCACCACTCGCTCAACTAGCTAGGGGTAGAGGTAGAGGTGTTAGAGGTGTAGGCCAGGTCGCTAGAGATGGAGGTCAGGCAGCTAGAGGTGGAGGCCAGCCAGCAGGAGGTCATCCTAGGGATGCAGTTTAGAGTGGTAGGGCCTAGCCCCGATGTTATGCTATGCCAGGTAGACCTGAGGCTGAGGCCTCCGATGCAATTATCACATGTACGGTTGTTGACGTTTAATTTTGTCCCTCTTTTCTTTCAAATTGTGTACTTGAGCTTCTAATATTATTAATAATGTGAAAGTATTTATTTTGCTATTTTTCTAATTAGTATCGTTATTTTATTATTATTTTTGTTGTTGTTATCATCATGACATAATACTATTGTCATTGCTGGTATTATTATTATTACTACTACTACTATGATTTTATATCTCAAATTATTACATTCAATGTTAATCAACCAATAATATTTTCCTTTACAAATATTTTCACTGCATTATATTAATCCTACTCCTATTTGTAATATATTTATTCAAGTGATTTACATATTGGTTGCATGCCCATTTTAAATTAATGGTTATCTACTAAATGGATATTTACAACATAAATTCGTAATTATTTAAGCACTAGCAAATTATTTAATATAAACATTTGTCTACATGCATATCGAAATTTAATTACTTATTTCATATTAATAGCTTTGTTATTTTAAAATATGGATAAGATTTAAGATGCCCAAATACAAGACAAAGGAGAAAGAGATTTGGCCTTTTCCATAGCCCAAATCGGAGGCCCATACCCACCAGCCCGCCTACTCTACTTCTTTCCATGTCAGCTCCACATAAGCCCCATGTCAGTGCCACATAGGCACCAACGATCTAAAACACACGCCAAGCACACACCTAGCACACCCTTCACACTCTGACCCCGCATCTTATAGAGAATTCTATATATTTTATTTTATTTTTATCTTGTTTTATCCTAACCATCCGTTATTTTAATTCAATGGTCAATATTTATCCTATCAATTAAATCCAATTTGCTAACCCTGTTCTCTCTCTCCTAACCCAACACAGACGCTTCTTATCCTCCCTTTCCTCTTCTTCACAAAATTTCATCCTTGATCAATCATGGCAGAACTTGTCATTACCATTTTTGAACAAGAAGCTCTGCACCCCATTTAATTTTCTTCAACATCAACGTTCAAATTTCAAAACGTTCAATAGCTTTTCACTCAATTTCGAAATCCCGCCTAAATCAAAAACCCTTGAAATCAGCTTATAAATACCCGCCTTTGAAGAGATTTTCGATGAAGCTTCAGCCCCCTCCTTTAACCTGAGGCTCAGAGCTGCCCACTTTCACCCCCAAAGTTGGAATCCTCAGCTCCCTCTAACCTTTGTTTAGCCGCCATCCCTTCCTCTCAAAATTTCCTTCTTTTTAATCTCTAAGTTCTGTTGGTTTAACCAAAACAGAAACATTTTTTATTTCTTTGTCCTAGCGATTAACGTTGATTCGAGGTAGCGAGTCCGAGGTCGGAGTTTGATAGTGCACCTTAGATCCCCGCCTCAGTTCACTGCCCTGCAAGAGATCCGTATCTTCTTCTCCTTCGCTATAGGTTGGTTCTGATTAGAGAATGTTTGATACTTGGTGCTTTCTTATTTCAAGAGTTGTTAGTTTTTGTTAAGTTTCCACGTTTTAATACTATAAAGATGGGTATTCTACTTCTACTTCTGTTTATCCTTAGTTTGATGGAATAATCCTGTGGTTAAAGTTGATAGGAATAATTTTTTAAGAGATTCTTATTGTTGGGAACATGCCTCACCAATATTTGATGAAATGCTCACATGAAAATACCTATTTCTGTTTGCATACTTCTCTGTTAGATGCCATGATTTTAAGAAGGATTTATCATGAGCTAGTTGCCCAGCAAAAGATTTATTTGCCATTGTGATTTAAGACATTTTTTTTCCTAGACATCGTGCTTAAAATTTCAAACAATTTGTTTAAGAATAGGTTTATTTAAATGCACACTGTTAAGTGAGGACTTGATTTACTTTAGTATTAGATATCCAAAATTCTTTCTTTAGGAAACATAGTTACAGAACTTTTGTGCCTATTTCTTTGTGCTGGTTAGTATTTGGATTTAAAAGTGTCGATGACTTTGTTAAGATAAAATTATGTCTTGATGAAATATGTCCATGTTGCTGTGTGATTATCACTAAAAATTTATATTTCAGTCATTTGAGAGTTTATGCTACTAGTCTAAATTACTAGAAATATTTATCTTTCATATAGTTGTGTGTTTGTCTGAAGACAAGAAGTATGGCTGGAATTTCATAAAACAATTTGACATTAGGACGTCTTTGCATATTTTAATCTTGATATATTATTAAGAATCAAGTTCCACTCTCTAATCCTTCTTATCCTTGCATATGTTAATTGAACTCTTACATTATTTTGCTAATTGTTTATTTCTCTCTTCCTTTTCATGTACACTTTGGAGCATAATAGGAATCTTAATGCTAGACTTTCATACCCGCATATGGAGTCTTCATTCGGAACTTGCAAAGATGGTGTTTCATCACCACCAGATAGAGTCAATACACGACATATCATCCTTAGAATGCACCGGATAGCGAGAAAATAAGCTAAACGCTTGGGGTCCTTCTTCTTCTTCTAATTCTTTTGCCATTCATCTTATCTAATTTTTGTGATTGTTAATTTACTTGTGTATTTGGATTTGATCACAAGTTTGGGCTTAATCAGATAGGTTCTTTGCTCTAGCATACTAATGGTGATTAGAATAAGAAATTTAAGATCGTTTTTAGTGACTTTTTCAATTATGTAAAACCGAGTCTTTTCTAAGAAAATTAACCTGTGAAATTTTAACAACTTGAGTAATTTCAGATTTTATGTTCTCTTTAAAATCAATTTATTTTGTTACAAACAACTGTGATAGGTTTTCTTTTAAATCGTAGTCTTCCCTTGAACCAAAAGACATCAGGCCTTTAAAATGAGAATTGTTTTAATCTAAGGTTGGAAAAACTTTTCTAAGGGGCATTTGCATATATACCCGTTTTTTGTGTCACGTTTTAACTTGTGCCCATTTTGCAAAAATATTGCAATCATACCCGCTTTTCGCATAACTTCAGCATACGGGGCTGAAGTAGCAAAGGCAATCACGCAAAACTTCAGCATTCTAGTAGCCGGGCCTGAAGTTCAGCTCTAGAGCTGAAGTTTTTGTTTTGTAACTGGCGAACTTCAGCTCTAGAGCTGAAGTTTTTGTTTTTTTAACTGACGAGCTTCAGCTCTAGAGCTGAAGTTTTTGTTTTGTAACTGGTGAACTTCAGCTCTAAAGCTAAACTTTTTGGTTTGTAACTGGCGAACTTCAGCTCTAGAGCTGAAGTTTTATTTTGTAACTGGGGAACTTCAGCTCTAGAGCTGAAGTTTTATTTTGTAACTGGGGAACTTCAGCTCTAGAGGTGAAGTTTTTGTTTGTTATAATTTCATTTGCCACAGTTGAAGATCCACGAGAAGAATTATCCAGTTCATGATTTGGAGTTAGCATCCGTTGTTCACGCGCTAAAGATTTGAGGGCATTATTTATATGGTGTATCATGTGAGGTGTTCACGGATCACAAGAGTTTGCAATACTTGTTCAAGCAGAAGGAGCTAAATTTGAGGTAGAGGAGGTGGTTGGAACTGTTGAAAGACTATGATATTACTATCTTGTATCTTCCAAGAAAGGCCAAGTAGTGGCTGATGCATTGAGTAGGAAGTCAGCCAGTATGGGCAGCCTTACGTATATTCCAGTCGGTGAGAGATAGCTTGCTTTGGATGTTCAGGCTTTGGCCAATCAGTTCGTGAGGTTGGATGTTTCTGAGTCCAGCCATATGCTAGCTTGCACAGTCGCTCGTTCTTCATTATTTGAGCATATCCGAGATTGCAGTATAATGATACTCATTTGCTTGTCCTTAGAGACACGGTGCGGCATGGAGGTGCCAAGAAGGTTACAGTTGGAGATGATAGAGTTTTGAGAATGCAGGGTCGTATTTGGGTTCCTAATGTGGATGGGCTTTGTGAGTGGATTCTAGAGGAGGCTCATAGTTCCCGGTATTCCATTCATCCGGGTGCCGCTAAGATGTATCAAGATTTGTGGCAGCATTATTGGTGGAGGAGGATGAATAAGGATATTGTTTCCTATGTAGCTCGGTGTTTGAATTGTCAGCAAGTAAAGTACGAGAATCAGAGACCTGGTGGTTTGTTTCAAAAGATTGACATTCCTAACCAGAAGTGGGAGCGGATCACTATGGACTTTGTTGTCGGACTCCCATGGACCTAGAGGAAGTTCGATGCAGTGTGGGTCATTGTAGATAGGTTGACCAAGTCAGCGCATTTCATTCTTGTGGAAATCTCCTATTCTTCCGAGAGGTTAGCTGAGATCTATATTCGGGAGATTGTTCATCTTTATAGTGTGCCCATGTCTATAATTTTGATCGAGGTACGCAGCTCGGCATCATTTGGGCACACGGGTCGAGTTGAGCACAGCATTTCATCCCTAAACGGATGGACAGTCCGAGCATACTATTCAGATTTTGGAGGATATGCTCTAAGCTTCTGTTATGGACTTTGGAGGTTCGTGGGATCAGTTCTTTCCTTTAGCAGAGTTTGCATACAACAACAACTACTAGTCGAGCATCCAGATGGCTCCCTAAGAGGCTTTATATGGTAGGCGGTGTCAGTCACCGGTTGGATGGTTTGAGTTGGGAGAGGCTCGGTTGTTAGGTACGTATCTAGTACAGAATGCCTTGGACAAGGTGAAAATCATTCAGGATAGGCTTCGTACAGCTTAGTCCAGGCAGAAGAGCTATGCTGACCGTAAGGTTCCTGATATGGCATTTATGGTCGGAGAACGGGTATTGCTCCGGGTGTTGCCTATGAAGGGCGTGATGATATTTGAAAAGAAGGGAAAGCTAAGCCGTAGGTTCATTGGTCCTTTCGAGATTCTTGATCAAGTGGGAAAGGTGGCTTACAGACTTGCATTGCCGCCGAGTTTATCAGCTGTGCACCCACTGTTTCATGTGTCCATGCTTTGGAAGTATCATAGCGATCCCTCCCACCTGTTAGACTTCAGCACTATCTAGTTGGACAAGGATCTGACCTTTGAGGAGGAGCCGGTAGCTATTCTAGACCGGCAGGTTCGTCAGTTGAGATCGAAGAAGTTCCCTTTAGTTCGTGTTCAGTGGAGAGGTCAGCCTGTCGAGGCAGCTACCTGGGAGTCCAAGTCCGATATGCGAAGCCAATATCCCCATCTTTTCCGCGACTCAGATACTTCTTTTCTATATTCGTTCGAGGATGAAGGGTTAGAGGTGGAGGATGTGATGACTTCAAAAGGTCATCACTTGATTTTTGAGTCAATTCTGTGTTTCGATCCCTAAAGGTATCTTGTTATCTCACCTCGATTTGCATGCACAGTCCGAGTGTATATTCGGAATGCTTTTATGTGAAATTTTGATAAAAATGCTAATTTGGCCTTTAAAATTGAAATTAAGTTGACTTCAATCAACATTTTAGGTAAACGGATCCGGACCCGTGATTTAACGGTCCCAGAGGGTCCGTAGAAAAATATGGGACTTGGGCGTATGCCCGGAATTGAATTCCGATGTCCCAAGCCCGAGAAATAAATTTTTGAAGAAAATTGTTTAACTGAAATTTTTAGAGTTTTTGGAAATTTGAATGTGTTTGAAATTAATTGTATCGGTCCTATATCTTGGTTCCAGAGCCTGGTATAGGTCGTATATGGTATTTAGGCTGAGCTTGTAAAATTTGGTAAAAACGGACTTGAAATGAAGTGAATCGGACCCTCGGTTGTCAAAAATTTGAACTTAAGAGTTCTTGAGATTCTTCTTTGATTTTAATGCTAAATTCATTGTTAAAGGTGTTAATTTGGCGATTTGATTGTATGATTAAGTCCATATGATGTTTTTGAGTTAGTATTCATGTTTGGTTTGGAGCCCCGAGGGCTCGGGTGAGTTTCAGATAGGGTTCAAGATGTTGTTACACTTAGAAAAGTTACAGGTTTTGCTGTCTCAGGTGCATAGAGATTTTGTTCTTCGCGTTTGCATGGATTCACTCGCGAATGCGTAAGGCAAGTTTCCTCCAGTGCTAGATTGTTCTTCGTGAACGTGAAGCTGTAGGGTGAGTTACCCTTCGCTAACGCGTTTAGGCTCTCGCGAACGCGTAGGGTTAGTGGGCCTGGGGGAGGGATTACAAATTGTTCTATGCGAACGCGACCACCTGACCGCGAACGCGAAGGCTTGAGGAGCTGAAGCTTTGCGAACGCGAACGCGATGGGCATCTGGGCCTGACCCATCGGGAACGTGCCAGGCCCATCGCGAACGAAATGAAGCCCTGCCCAGTTATTTTAAAAACATAACCAAAAATCGGGTATAGCCCATTTACTCCATATTTTTGAACTCCCAAGGCCTAGAGGCAATTTGCTTCACACCAATTCATCCCCAAAGTGTTGGTAATCAATTCTAAACTTTACTCTTTCAATTACCCAATGTTTTTCATCACGTTTTAATCAAAAATCAAGAGTTTTCATTGTAGAAATTAGGAATTTGGGTAGTTAGGGCTTTTTCAATAATTTGAATTTATACCTCATTTTAGGGTCGGATTTCGAAACTAATTGCTTATTTGGGCTCGAAGATGAATGGGTGATCGGGTTTTGGTTTGAACCTTGAGCTTTGACCAAACGGGCTCGTGGTCGATGTTTGACTTTTTGGAGTAAAATGATAGAAACATATAATTAAGCATTGGGTATGAATTCTTTAGCATTTATTGATGTTGTTAAATTAATTTGGACTAGATACAATTAATTTGGAGGCGAATTCTAAAGGAAAAGCGGTGTTTGAGGCTTGAGTTGGCCGTGGAAGTTTGAGGTAAGTGTTTGGTCTAACCTTAACTTGAGGGAATAGGTATTGTGCCTTATTTGCTTTGTTCTAGTGTAGTATACGACGTATAGGTGTGGTGACAAGAATATCTATACGTCGGTGTCAAGCACACCCGTGAGCCTTAAATTGTAATTGTTGTATTTCTTAATAAGTACTAAAATTGCCCAAATTGTTGATTCTACGTGTTGAGAGAGACCTATTATTAACTCGTGGTATTTATTTATTGTTGAGCATTGGCTCCAGTTGAGGTTTTGATTGTGAAGTTAAGTGTTGGTACAAGTTTGGTTATAGTTGATTCCCTTGCCGGGACGTACTTAATTCTTACTGTTGATTCCCTTGCCAGGTTGTGTTTATTCTTGTTGTTGATTCCCTTGTCGAGAAATTGTTGTTGCTATTGTTTGGGTGAGGAAAGAGTGATAAAGCACGAAGGGTGATGCCGTGCACATTCATACTTATGCATTTGGTGAGGAAAGTGTGATAAAGCACGAAGGGTGATGCCATGTATATTTTTATTAATCTTGATGCATATGGTGAGGAAGAGAGATAAAGCACGAAGAGTGATGCCGTGTACATTTCTCATACATATATGGTGAGGAAGAGAGATAAAGAACGAAGGGTGATGTCGTGCACATTTTCATTACTTGATTGCATTGGTGAGGATTGAGAGTAAAAGCATGAAGGACGATGTTGTGCACTTATTGCCTGTTTTTTTTATTTCTTGTCGCTTCGGTTCAAGTTCATTAATTGTGTTATTCCACTACTACTGTGATTCATTATGTCAATGTTTCCCCCATAGCATGTTACCCTTTCCACCATACTTTTGAATGGCTTTTATTACTGTTATTCTGTTAGATACTATTTAGCTGCAGGTTGTTTGGTTGTGGTGTCCTAGCCTCGTCACTACTTCGCTGAGGTTAGGCTCGACACTTACCAGCA